AGGACTGACTCTCATACCTCCCCTCTGGACCCTGGAATTCCTGGGCAAGATGGAAACCCCTCTAGGCAATGAGCCTTCCGAGAGCATCTGAAAGGGGTCAGGTGCTGTCCTAGGGTAGGCAAGACTCCAGGGTCCCCTCCTAGAAGTTAGTAGAGACTGTGTGGCTCTGGTCTCAGCACCCTCATTTATTTAAAGAGGGAGAGTTCAACAGGTTGAGGTAACTATTGCAGAGTCCCCTGCAGCCTCAGTGAGCCAGGGTCATGGAGGACCCAGTTACATGCAGAGCAGTGTCTCTTTTTGGGAGGTTGGGGCACATTGTCTCTTGAAACAAGTTCTGTGGCCTCAGGCCCAGGTCAGCAACTTGTCACCCCCACATGGGAGAGGCCCAGAGTGAGGCTGGGGTTTGGGGAGAGGGAGCCTGTTGATATCCTAGCAACCCTCCCCAGTTTCTCCCAGGCCCCTACTTTTCATATCAGAGAGATGAGTCCCACTGGACAAGATTTTGGGATTCATTCATTCTAGGTGAACTTGTTTTCTAAGCTGGTGGCTTTGGGCATGTTGCTTCTCTGAGCAGAGCATGGCTAGCTGGTCGGGGTGATTTTGAGGAGCAGGTAAAACCTGCTTAGCAGGTGATAGGTGCTATTGTTGCCACCACCACTGTGTGAGTTTGTCAGGAAGCGAGGCAGTGCAGGTGCCCTGACTTCAGAATGGGTTCTCTGTCCTCTCCAACATCACAGGGAGAGAGGGGCAGGGGCACACAGCCATGCCAGGGGGACCCAGCAGGCCCCATGCAGATGCGTGGGCCCCCACTTAATGCTCGCAGCTGCTTTGGTGCTGTGCCCACGGTGTTTGGGGCAGGGCCTGTATCCTGGTGCCAGAGAGGCCAATCCAGAAACCCTGGGGATGGGACTGATGGCATCCACCTGAAGTCCCACAAGAGTGGCTTAGCCCTGCTCAGACCCCTGTGTCCTCTAGCGGCTGTACGTTCAGCCCTGGGCTGGTGCTTCAGCCTGAGAGACCGTTGAGGGAGGGCGCTCTGCTTAGGGCTCTGGGCAGGAGCCCGCCTGGGTGTATCCCTTGCACCTTACCACCCTCACTCCTGCGCTCTGGCTTTGCAGGCACGGCTGCCACACTGTCATCGCCAGCAGAAGCCTTCCAAGAGTGTCAATGGTGAGGGAGGGCCTCTACTGTGCATCTCATCTATGGGTAGCTGTGGAGACCCAGAGCCTGAACCTGGAGGGTCCTGAGGCCTAGAGGATGTTGACACCAAAAGCTGGTCCTCTTCCAAATATCAAGCTTCAGTGGAAGTTGCCTCTCAGGGCTACCCCTGGCTTTTAAAAAAATTAATTATTGGGTCTTGTGAGTGACCCTCATGTTGACTGGTACTGACACCAACAGAGATTTCTGAGCTCACCTGGGTTATAATAGTGGTCCACATGTCCCAGGAGGAAAGTCTCACCACTGTCACAGTGGGTCTCTGGGCAGGGACTGGAGTTCAGCTAGAGTTGCCGCTGACCCATGACCAGTGGCCTGGAAGGTGATGTGGAGGGAGGAACCTAGGGCTGGTGGTGGGGCAGAGAGTGTTGAATTTCTTAGAAACGTCCACCAGAGGTTGTGGACCCAGAGAGTAACTGCCTGCCAGCCGCATTTCCCGAGTGGAGTCCAACAACAAACCCTGGCTTCCCAGCAGAACCTGGGCACATCCTCAGATTCTGAAGGGCTGTTCCCTCCAGGCTGAGGCTACTCGGCCGCTACCCACCTCTACTCTTTCTTCCTGTCTGGCTTCTAGGCTGCCAGAAAGCTGAGTGCTGCCACTGGCCAGCGGTGCCTCCCTTTATCTATGGATGTCCGAGATCCCCCAGCCATCATGGCTGCCGTGGACCAGGCACTGAAGGAATTTGGGAAAATTGACATTCTCATAAACTGTGAGTCACTGTTAAGGTAGGCCAGGGGTTTTCTGATGAGTCAACAATACTAGACCTTCCTTCTTGGAGGTCCCAGAACTTCTGCCCTGGGCTCCAGGCCACTATCTTGGCCCAACTTTGTTCCTTCCAAGTCATTGCAGTGTGAACTCAGCTGAGTCAGAGTCAGAGGCAGTTTTAAGCCTCCTTTCCTGTCCAGCTTGGGCCACCCTGAAGTTTCTATGCTCTAACTGCTGAGGGCTCCAGTACCATCTGTATCTCCTTCCATTCCGCAGGTGCGGCTGGAAACTTTCTGTGCCCGGCTAGTGCGTTGTCCTTCAATGCCTTCAAGGTCGTGATGGACATTGACACCTTGGGCACATTCAATGTGTCTCACGTGCTCTACAAGAAGTTCTTCCGGGTGAGTGTTCTCTGGCCGGGGCCTCCCCTCTTATGGTGGTCTACTCACTGACAACCCCCCTCCTCCATCCCTGCCATGTCTTGCAGGACCATGGAGGAGTAATCGTGAACATCACAGCAACGCTGGGTGCTCGGGGGCAGGTGCTCCAAGTGCACGCAGGCTCTGCCAAGGCGGCTGTGGGTATGGTTCCCCATCTAGTCTGCTCTCCTGGATTCCTTAAGGTCCCTCTCCTGCCTGTCTGTGGAAGCCAGCAGTGTCCGAGTCGGCAGTGGAGAGGCCCAGCCCTGACCCTGAGTCCTCACTTTAATCCAGGCCAGCCTAGAAGGCATAGCAGCCCTGCATTCTTTCTCATGCCTGCCTGCCTTCCATACAGATGCAATGACGCGGCACTTGGCTGTGGAGTGGGGTCCCCAGAACATCCGAGTCAACAGCCTTGCCCCGGGCCCTATCAGTGGCACAGAGGGGTTCCGGCGGCTAGGTAAGGCTCTCAGGAAGCCCAGCCCCCTTGGATGCTCCCCTAGGTACAGGTCCCACAGTGCCTCCATGGGCTCCCCTCCCACCTGGCCAGGACAAGCCTGGGGCAAGTGCCAAGTCATCATGGCTCCCTGGGGCTGGCAAAGAGCCTGTTCTCAGGTCAGGTCAGAGCTATTTTTGGTTAGCACACAGCTGCAATGAACTAAGGGTCAACCAGACTTGAGAAGCTGTTCCCTTGAGGTAGAGGCCACAGGGCTACTGGCCTTGATGTGTGAGTCGGACACAAAGGGGCTTCCGTTGAAGCTTCCAGAACCTTGGCAGGGTATACATCAAAAAGCCCTATGCTGGTTCTTTGTCAGTGTTACTCGGTACCTGGCCTGTTTCTGCTCCACCAGGATAATGCTAACAGTGCCTGCAACATTCTCGGATGTGGTTTAGGGAAAGCTGGACAGGGGAGGGTGGAGGGCCTTGGCATCCTGGGACTCACAAAGGTTGACCTCCCAGGTGGCCCCCAGGCCAACAAGATCCTGGCCAGCCCCCTGCAGAGGCTGGGGAACAAGACGGAGATCGCCCATAGCGCACTCTACCTGGCCAGCCCTTTGGCATCCTACGTGACAGGGGCCTTGCTGGTGGTTGACGGCGGGGCGTGGCTGACGTCCCCTAACGACATCAAGTTGCTGGCAGATTTCGCATCCTTCTCTGCTAAGCTCTAGGTGATGTGCCACTCCTACCTTCTGGGGGTCACTTGGGTCCATGGCCCGCTTCCCAAAACCCCCATCTGGTGGGCTTTTGGTCACTATCTGGGCCCTGATGTGTTTCCTTTCAATTCTTTGGGCATATTTCTAGATGTGTTCTTGGGCACATTTGGGCTTCCATTACCCCAACAGACCAGGCCATATGTAGTACAAGACTGGGAAGGGGTCTTGGGTGGTGCTGGGAGGGGTCCCAGCCAATGAAGCTGTACCCCAGATCTCAGGGCCCTCCTACAAACTAGGGTTGGCATGGCTTGCCTGGGAGACAGGAAGCCTCTCTCTCTTTGGGAACTCCCCTGGGTGACCCTCTCTGGAGGCCTGAGGGCTGTCTGAGCCCATGGGAGGGTGCCATTGCTCTCTGCCTTCCCTCCCTTCCCCCACCAGTCCCAGTGGTATGGCTGGTCCATGAGTCCCACTCATCCTGATTCTCTGAGCAGCAGCTTCCTCTGAGGAAGGCTGAGGCCCTGCTCGTGTCTCTGAACACCTATGCTCTCTGAACCTCTTGGGTCCCCATCACAAGGTGGTAGTGGAATGTTCTAGGACTTTGGCTGTTTCTTTTCCCATCTGAAGGGGTGGGTATGGTGAAGGGATAGCCCAGGAGTTCACAGTTCAGTCACACTGTGAAACCAAGTTTGGAGCAGGGTTTCTATGGTAATCCCCCCTCCCATCTTCCCTGGAGATGGGTTTGTGAGCACAGGTGATGTTGAGAAGCCCCTCTTCTAAGGCCCTCTGTGGTTTAGTTGCCATCAGACATGTTCTGAGTGCCTGTGGGCCACCGGGCAACTGGAGGTGGGGTGTAGGGGGGATCCTGGGGCTGGTAAACCAGTCACTGGGGTAAGGAGCACTCATCTAGGGGAGCTCTGGAAGAGGGCAGAAGGGGACTGCTGATGTCTGCCACCCCCAGCGGATACACAAGGCTTGGCTGCCCACTGCCTTCTCCCAGCCACTTGTGGGTACTGCCCAGGTGGCAGATACAGCCCCCTAGGCTGTGCAGGAGATGGGCCCTGGTGCCCTTCAGTTCTCTGTGACCTTGGTGTCTGCTGGCATTTCTGACAGGAGCTGGACAGCTGAGGAAAAGAAGGCATTCTGAAGGAGAACCTGTTCTGCAACCCACTCTTGGATTCCTGGGACCTACCTCTCACCCAGCTGAGAACTCCAAACCAACCACCCTGGCAGAGCAGCTGAAGCAGAGACCGACCCCTCCTCTGGGAGCTGTGCTGTGTCCACATTTCCTTCCCATGGCCCCATCTCCTGTGCATGCGCGGGAGTGACCAGGCAGTGAGGCCAGCCTGTTGACTGCCCACACCACACAGATGTCTGCCAGGGGGTGGTCAGCATTCCAGAGTTCCGAGGGTGGGGATGCAGACCAGTTGCTGGGGTATGCACCTCACCCCCTGACCTAGGGTTAGGGACTATCCTGTCCTGCCTAGTCCCAGCCTGGGCTGGCATCCTGCCTGTTTCCAGTGGATGTGCCAAGGTTCAATGCCCTCAAAGCTGTAGGTTGGCCCTCTGGCTAGGCACACACAGTTCCACCCCTCCCTGTTGGTACCACCCATTTGTATAAGCACAGGTCCTAGAGCTTTGCCAGAAAATGCATTTCCTTAAAGAATAATATTTTTACTGCAAAACATCTATTCATTGGACTTCGCAAAAGTTTTTAGAAGGAAAAGGAAGATACTTGAAGCGAATCACTGGTGATCTGGTCATTTAGAGGTAGGGGATGTGTCTTCCTATGAAGAGTTTAAAAAGTGTATCCTACCTAGTGCTGGAAGACCCTGCAAGGTCCCTGTTTGCTCTTGGTCAGTTCCCTGTGCCATTAGAGGGCTGAGTGTGAGCCCTTTCCCCCAGAGGACCACGCTCACTTGTCCCTTGTTCAATTCTCTTCATTCTATGAAAAGAAACCACCTCTTCTCCACAGGTGCAAGGAAATGACAGGGAAACCCCTGGACCATCCCAGCTGGTAGGCCACCTGGCAGAGGAAGCACCTTTTGCTATTTAAAGATGCTCCTTGTCAGAGAGACCAAAATGTGGTGGCATCAATTTCACCAGGAAGGCAGAATGGGCCCTTATGATGCTGCTGGGGGCACAAGACAAATGAGTGAAAGCAGTTACTGGGGAGATCCACCAGTGAGAGGCAGAGGCTATCCTGAGACCACCCCCACCCCCATATGCAGAGAAATTGGGCCTGCTGTCCTAAGGAGCAGGCCCTGGGGTATGGCCTGAGGAGGGTGAGTGTCCCACCATCAATGACTAGGCTCTGCTGCTTTTGAAGGTTGGGATGCACAGTTGAGGTGCACGTTCCAGGGGTAAGCCTTTTATTACTGTATTAGCGTGCTCCAGAGAAACAGAACCAATAGAATATATACAGATATATATGGGATTTATTAGAGGGATTAAATAGGAGGCTGAGGAGTCCCATGATCTGTAAGCAGGAGACCCAAGAGAGCCGATGGTGTAATTCAGTCAGGGTCAAAAGCCTGAGAACCAGGAACCTGATGGCCAAGGGCAAAAGAGAGGTAGAGAGAATTCTGCCATCAGTGGATTGGATTAGATGATGCCACACACAATGGTGAGGGTGGATCTTCACTCAGTCTACTATGCTAATCTCTTCCAGAGACACCCAGCTATTTGAGCATCCCTTTGTCCAGTCAAGTTGACACATAAAATTAATCATCACAGCCCTGGCTGTTGAGGGGGACAAGCCCTAGGGGGACAAGACAGTGGTTAGAGTGTCTGCCCATGCACTGAAGGTTCTCCAGTTCAGTTCCTGATCGAGGGTATGTACCTGGGTTGCAGGTCCATCCCCAGCCCTGGTTGCAGCACGTGCAGGAAGCAACAAATTTATGTGTCTCTCTCACATCAATGTCTCTCTCTCTCTCCCTTCCACTCTCTCTAAAAATNCAGGAAGCAACAAATTTATGTGTCTCTCTCACATCAATGTCTCTCTCTCTTTCTCCCTTCCACTCTCTCTAAAAACCAATGGGAAAAAAAAATCCTTGGGTGGGGATTAACAAAAAAGCCTGTCTCCATGGTTCATCACCTACATNTCTCCCTTCCACTCTCTCTAAAAATCAATGGGAAAAAAAAATCCTTGGGTGGGGATTAACAAAAAAGCCTGTCTCCATGGTTCATCACCTACATGTGGTGGTCAATTTGGTGATGAGAACTCAGCCTCTGGCTCAGTTTACAAGCCCAGGCTGTCATCCTGCAGGTATGGGATGACTACTAGGGACTCGGGTCAGCAGGCATCACAGGCTGGTGAGGGCCAGGTGCACAGGTGTGACATCAGTCCCAGCAGTGGCACTTGAGCTTGGTGGCAACTAGCAGATAACTAAGTTATCCCCTTTCACATTAATCTCTAAAATGCCCCTAGAATATGCCAAGTTTTCTGAAAGGAAGGATACTTTTTTAATATGTGAACCCTAGTCAGAGTTTTCTTAAGCCTTAGCCTTGGGAGCTGATTTACGGGTCCTACCACCTCGGTTCCCCCTTCGATGGGGTGAGGGTGTTTTACTTTCATCCTTTCAAAACTATACATGCCTGGCTGGTGTGGCTCAGCAGTTGAGCATTGACCTATGATCCAGGAGACCGCCGGTTCGATTCCTGGTCAGGGCACATGGTTGTGGGCTCAATCCCCGGTGGGGGACATGCAGGAGGCAGCCAATCAATGACTCTCTCATCGATGTTTCTATTTCTTGCCTTCTTCTCTCTGAAATAAAAAAAGATGTTTTTTATTTATTTATTAAAAACTATACATAAAACATCAGCCAAAGCAGAGGGCTGCTAAGCACAAAAAGACTACCACTTGGAGTATGGCCTTGTAACCCCTTTTCCATGTCTTTTTTTTTTAAAAAAAAACAACNGAGGGCTGCTAAGCACAAAAAGACTACCACTTGGAGTATGGCCTTGTAACCCCTTTTCCATGTCTTTTTTTTTTTAAAAAAAACAACTTTATTGACTTCAGAGAGAGGGAGAGAGAGAGAGAAACATCAATGATGAGAGTCAATGACCGGCTGCCTCCTACACGCCCTCTACTGGGGATTGAGCCCGCAACCCAGGCATGTGCCCTGACGGAATTGAACCGGGATCTTCTAGATCATAAGTTGATGTTCAACCACTGAGCGACGCCAGACAGGCCTTTTCCATGTCTTCATCTTCTCAGGGGACAGATGCACATGTTGAAAAGCATTGTACGCTGTATTTGTTGAATGAATAAATGAACAGCCTGCTATGCTGTTGTGAGTCACACAGGTTATTACTGAGATGTTGCTATAATGCAATGAATATCTGGGTTCATTCATTTTCTTTCTTTTTTTAAAAAATATATCTTTATTGATTTCAGAGAGCGGAAGGGAGAGAGAGAGATAGAAACATCAATGATGAGAGAGTCATTGATCGGCTTTCTTCTGCATGCCCCCCACTGGGGATCAAGCCCACAACCCGAGCATATGCCCTGACTGGGATTTGAACTGGTTGGTCAATGCTCAACCACAAAGCCACACCAGCCANGCATGCCCCCCACTGGGGATCAAGCCCACAACCCGAGCATATGCCCTGACTGGGATTTGAACTGGTCAATGCTCAACCACAAAGCCACACCAGCCGGGCTGGGCTCATTCACTTTTGTATTTACAGAAAGCAAAGAAAATCTTAAAATTGCCTTAAATAACCAGTGCTCATTTGAGGGCATTTCTCTCTGCTGACTCCTGTTCCCATGGTAACCTGGTTAAATTAGACTGACTTGCATGTGCTAGCTTTGTCTTTCAGGTCACTTCTGGAGGACCTGGAGGTTAGACACCTAGTGCTAATGCTGGTCTTCCAAATGCCAGACTCAGGCCACATTGTTTTCTCAATTGCTGGGTTGTCATACCCCTCACCCCTCCCCACCGTCGCTCAGAGTCATTCCCCTCCTTCCTCCTGTCCCCCTTCTGTCTTCCTCTCCCCTTTCCTTCCATGCGTACTGAGCCCATACTTTGTCCAGTACCCTGACTGGGAACTCAAACAGGGTTCTGACTCTCCTAAACTTCCCTGCTTCCTGTCCTCACTGAGAGAAGCAGGAAGAGTTGAGGAATCCCTGAGAATCTCAACAGTTTGAGGCTCAGCAGATGTTCCTCTGTCCTCTGACCCTCACATCATTTTGTCTATCCTATGGGTCAGATCAAGACCCCACCCTGGGCTTCCAGTTCAGGTGAGCATCTTTTGTTCCCTTGTTCTACCCAGTGCTGCAGCTGGACAACAACGTCCTCTTGAGCAGGGCAAATGGGCTCTCTGGGCTCAGGGCTTCCCATTCTGGAAAGGGGCTGGGCATGGGCCCCTTGGATATTTCCCTTGGGATGCTTAAGTTGGTCTCTGTTGGACGCATTTGGCAGAAACCTACTCTGGCTGTTCAGATCCAAACAGAGGGAATGCATGCGGAGGATCCTGGCTGCAAGGGTAGGATGCTCTGGAGCTCCAGGACAAAGCTTGGAGCCAGGGCCCTGAGGCCCCTTTTCTCTCAACTTCACCTGACCCTGTGAGCCAGTAGCTTCCCCTCCCTGCATATCAGCTGTCTCCATATGCTGGTCCCATTGCCATGTGCATAAACTATAGCCCAGTCCCTTGAAAAAAGACAGAGTTCCTTCTGTCAGACTCAAGCCCAAATTCCTGAAGAAATGTGTTTGTTCACTTGGTTTGGGTCAGGCGTCGGGCTCTTGCTCATTAAGCCGTGGCCAAGGATTGATCACATCAGACAAACATGACAAGTCCCACTACAGTCATGGGCTTGAATGGAGAGAGGCTGCTTCTAGAAAATGTGTTATATTAGACCATTCCATATGGGTCCTGAGTCACACCAAACAAACTCACTAAAGACCAATGTGTAGGTCTTGGTCAAATAGCTCAGTTGTTTAGAGCATCATTCCAATACAGCAAGGTCATGGGTTCGATCTCTGGTCAGGGCACATACAGGAATCAACCAATGGCCCTGGCTGGTATTGCTAAGTGGTTGGATCGTTGGCCTACACACCGAAGGGTCTCAGGTTTAATTCCCTGTCAAAAGCATGTGCCTGGTTTTCGGGTTCAATCTCCAGCAGGGCACCTGCGGGGGCAACTGGTCGATGTGTCTCTCTCACGTTGATGTTTCTCTCTCTCTCCCCCTCCCTCCTTCCCACTCTCTCTGAAAATCAACGGAAGAATATCCTCAGGAGAGGATTGCCAAAAAGAAAAAAATGGAATTGACCAATGAATTCATAAGTGGAACAACAAATCGATGTTTCTCTCAAATCAATAAATTAAAAAAAGACCAATTTGTAGNTCATAAGTGGAACAACAAATCGATGTTTCTCTCAAATCAATAAATTAAAAGGCCAATTTGTAGCCCAGTAANTGTAGCCCAGTAAGCCAGTAACGTGTGTGTGTGTGTGTGTGTGTGTGTGTGTGTGTGTGTGTACACTCCTTTTCAGTGACTGGATGAATCTCAGGTCCCCGTCTCAGGTGAAACCGAAAGGCCACTTGGGAGATGGCAGAGGTAGCCTAAGTCTGATGATCTCCATGTGCTTCCCATTTATATCCTGGGAGCAGGACTCTGCCTGACTCAGCTCTTCTGTGTTAGGGACCGCGGTGGAGAACGGATCCTTCTTTGGACTTTCGTTTTTCTTGCTCATGTTAATGGAACCCTGGAGTGAAACAGGCCCCATAAGGCATTGCTGCTTTCCTGTTTAACACTGGATTCTGGTTTAAGTCTCTGGAACTAGACCCCAGGTCACCTTGTTAGCAGGCAGAGGTTTATAGGACTCTTTAGTCTTTATTTACTGGTTATCTCTTGCATTGTTTTCTCAGGTGACAAACATAATCAGCGTGGACTTCACTAATTGAACTCTTAGAGGATAACATTATGTCCAGGTTTGGGAAATTTTTGGAGTACCTCATGACATCCGTTTGTCAGAGTATCTCGATAAGACATTACCTGGCAGGTGTCTGTTGAAGAAGGAACGAGAAATACGCAGAATTAACTTTTAACTTTTCCATCATCACAGGTAATTTGGACAATTTTTACACAATGGGATGAGAATGATGCAGATTAGATCACCTCTGTGGAAAATGTGACCGGACGCTAAAAAAAGGAAGTTCTAAATCCATATACAAACTTCTTACTGCCCTCAGGGCCGTTCCCCCAGGTATGATTTTGGTTGCAGGGGAGGTGTGGTGGGTGCAGAATGTGGGCTACAAAGTGGGCTATGAAGCACTCCGGGCACAGTGGGGATTAGAGATGCCAGCAACTTCTGAGTGAAATGGCAAAATAGGAAAATCATCTAAACTTTGATTGAATCTGAAGGAATTATATTGTGCCTTTCAAACTCATATTTTATTTTTACTCTAAGAAATGTACTTTACTAAATTTGAAGGTGAAAAAAATCCTATCCCGCTGAATAAAATATCAGTAAACACGAGTGTGGATCTGTGCTCTCAACTGCTGGAGGCTACAGGGGGAGAGTGTGATCTAGATCTAAAATTGACTTCTCTTTACAAAATGTTAATTTTGTTTCCAAAATTGGAAATTAAAAATATTTGGCTGGTGCCCGGCCAGGGTGGCTCAGGTGGCTGAGCCTTGTCTGTGCACTGAAATGTTGCCAGTTCGATCCCCAGTGGGTGGATGTTTCTCTTTCACATGGATGTTTCTCTCTCCCCCTCCCTTCTTCTCTTTAAGCACGTCCTTAGAGTGGATTAGTGAGGATTAAAGTATATATAAATTTGGCTGGCAGTCTTTGTTTATAGCTTGATTGAAATATAATTGACATACAATAAACTGTACTTATGTAAAGCATATAATTCTTTTCATCTTTTTTAAAAATCCTCACCTGATGTTATTTTTTTCATTGCTTTTCAGAGAGAGTAGAAGCAGGGAGGAGAGAGAAACATTGATGTGAGAGAGACACACCCATTTTTTCTCTGCCACACGTGCCCGACTGGGGCCGGGGATTGAGCCTGCAACCAAGGTACGTGCCCTTGGCTGGAATCGAACCCAGGACCCTTCAGTCTGCAGGCTTACACTAACCACTGAGCCAAACCTGCTAGGGCTGTAAAGTGTGTAACTGATGAATTCTGACATATGTCTGTACCTGTGCAGCCATCACAACAATCACAATAAGGAACATATCCACCACCTGCAAAACATTTCCTCCATTCCCTTGGTAATCTACCCCCCACCCCCCTTACCCTTACCCTCAGGTGACAGTGGGGAAGAAGTGGTGAGCTATCCAGGATGACAGCTCAGGTCCTGGGAGGGCAAGACCAGCCAGAAGGGGGTGGCCATGTAGTAGAAAAAGTTCCATGAGAAGGGGAATCAAGAAATCTGGCTGAGCCTGGCCGGGTGTGGCTCAGCGGTTGAGCGTCAACCTAGGATCCAGGCTATCGGGGTTCAATTCCTGGTCAGGGCACATGTCCGGGGTGCAGGCTCAATCAATGACTCTCTCATCATTGATGTTTCTACCCCCTCTCTCCCTCTCCTTTCCTCTCTCTGAAATCAATAAAGATATATTAAAAAAGAAAAAAAAAAGAAATCTGGCTGAAAGGTGGGAATAGTAGGAAGAGGCGCTGGGCACTCAGCTGGGTCCAGGACCCCTTTTTAGGGGGCCCAGTGCAGGCTGTTCAGTGGCCCTGCTCCTTCCTCACCCTGACCCGTCACCCTGGCACCCCTCTTCTTTCTCTAGAAAAGAGCTCAGTCCCTCTCCTGTTGTGTCCATCTCCAGGGCAACCAAGGCTACCCCTGGCCAGCTGCCCCAAACCACCTTGCGGGAGGCTCCCACATGACCACTGGAGGCTCAGCCCTGAACATGGTGCTCTGGGACACAAGGCTCTCTACAAGCAGCAATGTCCAGCCCCACATGGCCCTCGGTGCTCATTGAGAGAAGGGCCTGCCACAGACACATCTGGACTTGTCTCTTTGGGAGGGGGACTTCTTCAGATAGCTCCCCAGAACCTGGTCCCCAACTCTCTGATCTGGGTTCCTAATATCAGTTCACTTTTGATACAAATTATTTTCAAATACCACAGTCCGGCAGGTGTGGCTCAGTGGTTGAGCATTGACCTATGAACTAGGAGTTCTAGGTTCGATTCCTGGTCAGGGCACATGTCCGGGTTTCGGACTCATCCCCAGAGGGGGCATGCAGGAGGCAGCCGATCGATGTTTCTCTCTCATCGATGTTTCTATCTCTCTATCCCTCTCTCTTCCTTTCTCTAAAAAAATCAATTAAAAAAAATTACAACAAAATGGCTGATAGAGGTTACCTTACAAATAGGTGGGGAAAGAACAGATAGTCTGGGGAAAACTGGCTCATTAGGTGAGAAAAATAAAATCAGGTCCCTACCTTACATTACACTGAAACAGAAAAACTCCAAATGGATTAAAGACATAGAGTGAACGGGAAAACTATAAATATAGGCAAATATCTTTGAGACTGGGTGATGATTTATTTACTTAATTTTAAAAGTGTTTAATTATGAAATTATTAAAATATGTGGACAAGATTTAATAACAAGAAAAAACAAGACACACCCATGTATTCCCCACCGGTTTCACCAGGTGTTGATCCTTTGCCCTGTTTGCTCCCAATCTGCCTGTCTTGTAAGGAAATAAATCTTATAGGTAGAGCTAAATTTCACCTTTCACCCCTTTCTTCTTCTGTCCCCCTCAATAGAATTCCCATGCTTGTTTTGGTATTTTTACTACAAATAAAGGTGTTTAAAAACAATAGATGTCATTGAGGGTGTGCTTTTAGACTCTGCAAAAATGCTGTTACACAGTTCTGTAACTTCGTTTTCGCTTGTTTTAGAAGTCTGCTCATGTCGAGGTGGCAGATGTGGTTCATTCTGGGAAACGACTGCATAGTGTTCCATTACAATAGGTTACACCTCAGCCATTCAGCAGTCTCTTCACGGAACCATGAAAACCAGTTGCTGCAAGAACATCTCCTTCCTGTCTCCTCATGAACCTGTCCTGGAAGGTACAGAAGTGCAAGTGCTGTATTAGTAATGTGAATCCCTGTACTCTGCTGGGATCAGACTTAACTTTCACTCTGATTGGTGTCAAATGCTATCTTTATTCATTCCTTTGAGTACCAATGGGGTTCGGCATCTTTTTTATGTTTACTGGCCACTTGAGTTTCCTCCTCTGGGGCTGCTTGTTCATATTCATTGCTCACTTTTTTTACTGGGTAGCTGTTCTTTCACTGGTTTTTGGGGACTTCTTTGTGTATTCTGGAAATGAACCCTTGTTCTAAATCTCCTTCCAGTTGCTATGGAGTGAATTGTGTTCCCCAAATCCATTAGTTGAAGCCCTAACCCCCAATTCGATGGTATTTGGAAATGGAGCTTTTGGGAGGTAATTAGGGTTACATGAAGTCATGTGGGTGGGGCCCCAATGATGAAGTTAGTGGCTTTGTAAGAAGAAGTACCCGGTCAGCATGGCTCTGCGGTTGAGCATTGACCTATGACCCAGGAGATCATGTTCATATTCCTGGTCAGGGCACATGCTGAGGTTGCTCGCTCGGTCCCTGGTAAGGGGCATGCAGGAGACAGCAGATCAATGACTCTCTCATCACTGATGTTTCTCTCTCTCTCTCTCTCTCTCTCTCTCTCTCTCCCTCTTCCTCTCTCTGAAATCAATAAAGACATATATATATTTTTTAATTTAAAAAAAAGAAGAGGAAGAGAGAGAAATGGCTCTCTCTCCCAGGCGAGGATACACCTAGAAGGAAGCCCTCATAAGCCAAGAAAAGAGCTCTTAACAGGAACAGATTTGCTGCCATCTTGATGTTGGACTTCTCAGCTTCCAGAATTATGAAAAATAAATGTCTGTTGTTTAAGCCACCCAGTACACGGTATTTGGTTATAGCAGGCTAAGACACCAGTCTATGATGTTTTTTATCAAACGGAAGGCTAATTTGAAAAAATATTATTCTTTACTAAAGTATAATTTACATACAGTAAAATTTACCCCTTTGTGGTGAGCAATTCTGTGAGTTTTGACAAACGCATACAATATAGAACTACCATTACAATCAAGATATAGAATAGTCACAAATTCCCCTCTCTTCCAGGCCCCACTTATCTGATTTTTGTCCCTATACTTTTGGAAGGCTCAAATTTTAACGTATTTAAATCTGAATCATTCATTTCTTTAATGGTTTGTAATTTTTATTCTTGTGTAAGAAATTTTCCTGCTCCAAGGTCGTAAGTATATTTTCCAATGTCTTCTAAAAGTTTCACTTTCCACCTTTATGTCTCTGATTACTCTGTAATTATTTTTGTAACTGATGTGATATAGAGATCTAGTTGTGAGGTTTCTGTATAGATAACTGGCACCAGTTATAGAACAGTCCATCCTCTCCTCAGGATTAGCAAAGCCACCAAGGATAAAACTAATGGGTTGTCTACTCAAAATTAAAGATTTTTGTCTAATCTTCCCAAAAGACAGAGTTCACGAAGGGGTCACAGGCAGGGAGAAGATATATGCAACATCAAAAACTGATGAGGGTTTTTTTTTTGTTTTGTTAATTCTCACTGGAGGATATTTTTTTCCATTGATTTTATAGAGAGTGTAAGGGAGGGAGGGAGGAGGGGAAGAGAAACATCAACATCAATTGGTTGCCTCCTGTAGAAGCCCAGACCTGTGTCTGCGGGGATGGAACCTGAAACCCAGGTAAGTGCCCTTGACCAGGAATCAAACCTGTGACCCTTCAGTGCTGGGGCCTATGCTCTAATCACTTAGCCACACCGGCCAGGGCTGATAAGGGAGTTTATCTAAAGAAAAATTCAGAGAATCAAATAGAAAAATAAGTAAGTGCCTATTTTTCACAACTGGGCGACTCACAGATGTGAAATTCAAGTTGGTCAGTAAGAAACATTAGCATTCCGTGAAGTTCTAATAAGAGAAGATGAGATGCCGCTTTAAATTCATCAGACAAGAAGTCATATGTAATGTTTACTATAATTTTGGTGTATTTCCTCCTGATTTAAAAAAATATATTTGTGATCAAATTGAGCTTTTCCTGTATCCCTCCCCCTCCCACTGTCAGTGGCCAGATCTCATCCAGATGATGGGGAGGCCCTACTTCAACTAAGGTTTCTGACCCACTTTCCCTCCACTCCCCTATTAGGTCCAACAGGGCTGTGCCACACAGCCAGGAATCTGCTGAGTTATCTCCCTATTTTTCCCCACAGGCCAACGGTCACCAGGAAAGGGATCAGGAGACCCACCTGCTCAGAGAGTTCGAAAGGTAAGTGTTTATCCCAAGTCACTTTCAAAAGAAAACATTCACAGAGGGAGGTTTTCACAGACATTCATCCAGACCCAAAAATCAACAGATGTGAGCTGCACTCAATCCTCTCTTCCTCTTCTGTGTACCTGATACTTGGTTGAATTAAACCGTGAGTAAGAGTGGGCATGGAGTCAGTCAAAATGGCATGAGGGGTTATGTGTATTGAGCTGGCTCATTTAATCTGGAATATTAATCAAAAATGTTCATAAGCCACAAAGGGGATAACCCAGAATTATCACTTTTAAAAAGATACTTTTAAAATTGATTTCAGAGAGGAAGGGAGAGGGAAAGAGAGATAGAAACATCAATGATGAGAGTCACTGATTGGCTGCCTCCTGCACGCCCCCCACTGGGGATCAAGCCCGCAACCCAGGCATGTGCCCTGATCTGGAATCCAACCGTGATCTCCTGGATCACAGGTCAATGCTCAACCACTGAGCCACGCTGGAAGGGCCAGAATTATCACTTTTAATATTTCACATTCAGAGCCTCTTGAATTGGTCCAAGCAGAAAGATGCATGCTCACCATGCTGGGGTTCCATTTTGGCACATCAGCCTGTCAAGGAATGCAGAATTTTTGAGCATTAGCAGAAGGAGGAGAGCCTATTTCCTCAGGATGCAGCTCTGATATATATTTTTTACTTCACCCACATTAACACCCTTATTTAGAAAGCTGACACATCACTATAACTATCTGAAAATTATATTTGTTCAAAGGCATCAGTCTCATTTCAAATTCTTGCCAAAACGAGATAATTTTTTCTTTCTCTCTGAACACAGTATCTTCCTGATGAGAGCACACAGCTCTTAAAAGAAATTGAGAATATAGTTTGTGGATTGGGATTCCTTGCTTTTCTTTTTCCAATGACAATCTCACAAAATCCAGCACCACGTGTCCTGGGATTCTGTCATGGAAGGTGATTCAGTTAATTAACACACTGCTGCTCACTGTACACTAGGAAACAGAGGTTCAGTTTCCTTTGGTTCTTGCCAAAGCTGCTTATGAAACATATCTGGTTTGGGTGCCCACGGGTTTAAAAATACCAGTTCATACATTCCCTTGATACATTTCATTACAGGCTAAATTTGGCAACTCGCTTGGGGCCTGGCAGCTCACCTGCTCCTAACTAGCATGTCTCCCCTTTCATGCCTGCTGCAGTGTGCCCATGTTCCTGTGTCCTCACTGATGAAAGTGACAGCTAGAGAAACAGTTGCCAATTGTCAAAGACAGCCATGGGGCTTAGGAGGCCTGACTGCAGACTGGCGATCAACACTGCACATCCTGTGAATAAACACCTTTTTCATAGGCTTAAAAAAAGATCTCAGTGTTCAACTATGTGTACCTGCCGTTAGAAGTGAGATAAACAGCATTTTTGGGGCTCTCTCACCCTCGGGAAGGGACTGCTCGGGCCAGCCCCTGCCTCTGCCAACCTCTGTGCCCGACGCAGTTAATGCCTGCGACCTCTTCGTGCTACCTGCGTCTGCGGAGGGGCGAGGCTGCGGGAGGAGCCATGCGGGGGCAGCGAGGACAGGTGCGCCGCGAGGCGGTACCACGCAGGGACTGCGCTCAGTGCTACGCGCACTACCCCAGCCCATTAGGGCGGTGTTCGTTGCTCATCCGTTTGAGAGCGCTTTACACAAGACGACTCAACCCGTGCGCGACAGGTGTACATTCGGTTTCTCGCTCTCTTCTCGGCGCAGTTTATTCATGCGCACTGCGCGTGGGACGACTGCCCCGCACGCCCGGGCGGTGACATCACGTACGCGTTTGCAGCCTCCAAGCACACAGCCGCTTCCTGAGTCCGAGGGCCGGAGGTCAGGCGGGGGGAGAGGGGGGTCCGGCGAAGAACAGAAGGAAAAGCACCCACCCACGGGACTCTGAATGCCACACGCAGCCTCCCAGTCCTGCTGCCCCGCCGCCCGCCTTTTATAGCAAGTCGGCGAAGGGCGGGGCCGAGCAGCGCCGTGGCGTGCTTACGTAAGGCCCGACAGAGGGCGGGGCGAGGGCGGTGGCGTTCGCTTTGGTACCTCGGGCGTCTCATCCCTCCTCCTCACCCTCCTCAGCGTCCTCCTCGGCGTCCTCTCGTTTGGCCTCCTCGGTCCCTCGGTCGCACGCCGCCGCCGGTCATCCTCCGCGCCCTCCCT